TTCAGTCTCGACCTCAATTTGGGCTACTTCTTGATATGCAGTAGACCATTGAGTTCGAAGTTCCCATGCACGGCTAAAAGGCTTGATAAAAGATTGAAGCTCCAAAGAAATGTCAGAAGGAAGGTCAGAATAGCTCAGCAGGTCATCAAGCATTTGTTGAACTTCTGTTTTAAATTCAGGGATAAGGAAGGCTTGATCGAGATCTTCGACATATGCCTTCAATCGAAAGGATTCGAGCAAGGGTTGGTAAGAAGGTACTTCAGAAGCCGGTTCAACAGTGGGCAATTTCTCTTTTTCTGACCCAGAAGGACCACTGGTCCAGTTATCCAAGACCTCGAAGATACTATTGATATCTTCATCCTCGTCGTTGAAGAAACTCATCAAATCTAAATCTGGTGAGGGAATGGAAGAGAGGCCCTGGACAGAAGAAGTAGCGCCTCCCTGGGTCGAAGGAGAAGTAGTAAAAGGCCGGGGAGATTCAGTAGAACCTACACAAGGGGAAATACATAAGAAATCTCTATTAAACAAGTTATCATATCAAAAAGTAAAGTCGAAAGAAATATACCCTTGTGTGGACTCAAGGGAGGTCGTAACTCAAAAGAGGGTTCACCTTGAGCAGAGTCTGGTTGCGGCTCCACATGGGTCAAAGGCTCTGGTTGGAGAACCTTACCCTCTTCAGCCTGAAGAGGAACCTCTATCGAAGCCATCACTGAGGCCAGCGTTGCAACATCCACTGGGGAAGTAGGCAACTGATGAAATGAAAGGGTAGGTTAGAAGATTAAGTTGAAACACGGGAAAATTTGAAGTCGAAAGGTATGAGAACATGAACCTGTTGAGTCACTTCAGTGACAAGAGGTACGTTTTTCTGTATCTCTCGAGACATGTCTTGAGAGGAGTCCAAGGGGATGATCTCGATATCCTATTGAGGAAATGTTAGACAAATCAAAAATATAAAGCAAATGAGAGTAAAAATCGAAATACCTTTGGAACAGATTTCATGGCGTCGCTAAGTAGCTTCCCGCCAGAAGGTTGATGGGATTTCTTGGGAAGAGGCAAGACCATTTTCCCTTTTCCCTTGTCTTGCTTTTTTGTGGTCGAGACCTGAATTAAAAGGGATTGAAAGGTAAGTAATTAATTATGAAATATGAGTATGAGAATAACCTTTATGTTTGAATTAAACTACTTACAGTTTTGGTACTGTCCGAATCCACTCTTGGTTTTTTTTTAGGTTTCTTGTTTCTTTGAGGCTTCGATACTCTGTGAAGTTGAAGTTAGTTCAAAAGGAGTGAAATAGAGTATTATAATATTAGTAGAGAAAGGCTGCAATCGAAACAAGACAAACCTTCGAACGTAAAGAAACCTTTTCAGCAGCGGTTTTTCTTTTTCGACCTTTCTTCGAAACACCCTCGTCTTCGTCACTCTCCCAATCAGGAGTGGGATCAGGATGTCGAGGAACACGCTGAGGAATAGCAGCTGCAAGGATGGACCAAAAAGTGAGACAAGTTCGAGGTATACTCGAAAAACAAGTAAATGAGAAATATTTACCAGGAGGAGGGTTAACGTTATTGACCCAACATCCTGGCCACCACTTGTTTCGAGGAAAATCGTACACGGAACATCGCGCGTAGGTAACTTTATGCTTTACGGGAATTTCTTTGCGCTCAAGGTAAAACGGGTCGAGTGTTTTCACCCAAGGAGGATGAGATACATGTTTAACCAGGCCAAAAAGGGCATTTGGAAGAGGAGGTATATACTTTGGACAAAATTTTTCGAAATTAGTTTTACCAAGAGGGTTTATTACCTTTTTCGAGCGTATGTTCCATTGTACCATTTTCGATAAAGACACAGAAGCGTCAAAGATGGTGCGGTGTACATTGTCAGGTCGATAACAAACCTTAAAAAATTGTTCGAATTGATAAATGATAAGTTGATTCTTGAAAGTACCTGGTTGTTTAGACCCCTGCGAACAAGAAAGAGGAGAGTTGATCAGCTTCTTCAAAAATATATCGAAATAGATAAGCTTATCAGTACAATACTGGCACCACCAACGAAGGTAACATCTAGAAACTAAGAAAGAAGGTGAGAAGTTGCAAGGGGTAAGTGTAAGCTTCTTGTCAGGACGCAAAATGAATCGTAGAACCTCTTCATAGTTCCCAGATTCGACGCAGATGTCAGCGTCTATACCCTCTTTTCGACGAAGGGGAAGAGGTTTCATCTGGCACAATCCAAATTGTCGGGCAAAGAGTTGAGGGTGGTAAGGGTAAACTCGAACATCTCTTTGCCTCATACCAGAAAAAAGTAGATCCCATGATAAAAAGCCAAACCAAGTCTCGATCATATCTGAAGCAATATCCCCCACTTGGTTGTTCTGTCGAAGCCAAGGAGGACCTATCAGGGAAGGTCGAATAAACGGAGCCAAATCTTCACTGAATTCCGTGAAGTTAAGGATAGTCTCTATGTAGAGTCCAAAATTATTTACAGAGCGTTTTCGAGGGGTTAAAGTTGTCAGTCGAGCCCCTTCGAGTTCACAAGAAGAGTTAAAGATTGAAGAAAGGGAAAGTTTTTTCTCGAAGATGGCATTGAGCCATAGTTGAAGTAACCAAAGTGGACCAGAAAGATTTCGAGGGCCGGATTCGCGAAATAGACTCTCAGAAGCTTCATCAAGGCAAGTGTAAAGAGAAGCCAATAATAGCAGTTTACTTAAGCAAATCTTCTTCTTCAAGTGTAAGGCTTGAGCAAGAGTGTAATAGTATTTTGGTACTTGAAGAGAAGGCGTGCAGAAAACACAAGCAGATAACCAGTATAATAAAAAAGCAATATGTTCAGAAGGTGAAACGGAAGTCCCAGGTTGTCCCATATGTGAGTTTATGAAAGCTAAATAGGTCTTTTTATCCCAAGAAATTGAAAGGTCTTTGATCGAAATTTCATCATCGAAAACGTCAGGGTAAAACCTATCTCTTAAGGGGGACAAACCAGTGATAGCGGCAATATCTAACAAAGTGGGGCAAACAAATCCACAAGGAAACTTGAAGGCTCTCGTCTCCTTGTTCCAGAAGAAAATTGCGGAAAGCAACATTTGGGGGTCGAAGAGATGTAGATCAAATTTTGCAAGTTGAATGAACTCTGAAATCCCCGTCTCGACCCAAGACGAACTCATGGCATCTTCCACGCGTAATAGCCATTGAAGATGTCTATCCTTGGTAGGGGGAAATGCTCGAAAAATCTTAGTAGTATCTTTAAACAAAGAAAGGTCTATGGAGGGCGAGTGGATGAAGGGCAAAGCAGAAGAATCCTCTGGGAGCATAGTGTTACCAAATTTTTTCTTGTTTTGACCCATGAATGGTCCTAAAAAAGCATGAATATTACCATTCTCAAGAGAGAAGGGAAGAAGTACCTGAGAATTGTAAATCTTGAGACTGGCTTCTTCCATGCCAGGGATAGGCACAAAGGTCTCATTGCCTTCAGGAATGGTGTGCATTGGGGCGTTAGTCATCAGTAATGTTCCTGCCTGAGTAGAAGTGGCTGCAGCAGTGGTGGTAGTAGCAGCAGAAGCCATTGTTGTAGACAAAACTGGGGATGACCCAGTAGTAGGGGACACCGTTGAAGCTACGGCGGCAGAAGTTGAAGCAGCAGAGGAAGCCATGGACGTTAGAAGAAAGCGAAGGAGCACCGAAGAAGAAGAAGTAGAAGGCTTGAGCGTGAAGAAAGCAAATAGTGAAAACGGTGGATTAACCCTAGAGTGAAAAAGGATATAAAGGGGGCAAAAAATCTGATGGGCTTAAAGTGTAATGGGCTTAAACAAATGAATTTTTCAAAAAAATTAGTGGTTTTTAAAATTTAGTGATTATAACAACTGCCAAATATTTTGGTAACAGCAAAAGACACAAACACGCGCCGTATATGCAGTTAATGTCACCTCAACGGTCATGTACATTAAATGCTGATTTTAGTGCGAGCCAGAGTAGGGTTTCATCGAAAGAAAATACTCCTCTTAGAGATATTAGTTAAAGAGAACTTAGATAGGAATTCGAATCTTTCTAGAACGAACAATCAAGATTGAATTCCTAGGGGGGCATTTGTTGAGACCACTCGAAGTGATGAGACTCGAAAACGGTTCAACTAATTTAGATTACCATACATGGAAGACTTATAACTAGTCCTAAGAGGGGGTACTCGAGACAGGGCCGAGTTAAGATTCGAGAGCATTCGAGCTGGAAACAAGATGTCACATGGAAACATTCAAGGTAAGGTCGAACATAATGCACTTTGGAAAAGTCGAAATGGCTAAGCCAGAAGCGGTTATCTAAATCAAGGAAAAGAATAGGAACACGCGGGAAG